ACACACACACACACACACACACACACACACACACACACACACACACAGAAGAAAAGGTTATCCTAAATACATAAAATAAGCACCATGAGGCGTGAATGTCCTGCTGACTGCTGGGGTGGCCTGCACTGCACAAGTCTGGGTGACAGGGTGGAGTCTGTGTTATGGTCAAGCCTCAGCTGGTTTTCCCTAGGGTTTAAGACTTATTGCTGAGTTATTCCCCCTACTTGTGTCTTGCTGGATACCTGGGGGCACTCCAACATGGTAGAACCCCGGTGGATTTCTCAGCATCTTTAAGTTATTGATATATCTGATGGTTATTTACACTGTGGCAGGTTTTCATTGTGTCCCAAAAGGAAAGCTCCACCCTCAGCATGCATGCACACAACTGTACATTCACTCTGACTTTAAGGTTATAGCACCGGGAATTGAACCCATGGCCTTTAGCCTGCTGGGCAAGCACTCTCCCTCTGAGCTATGATCCCCAGCTCTCATTCTGACTTTTTTGAAATATCTCATTACATTGCCAGGGGAGGCTTTGAACTCACTCGGTAGCCCAATCAAGCTTTGATCTCATTATTGTCCTGCCTCAGTTTCTTTGGTATCTGGGCTTACAGGCCTACACCAGAGACCTGGCTAAATGATTTAAAAAACAAAAAAACAAAAACAAAATTGAGCATCATGTAGCCCAAATTGGCTTAAAAGTCAATTTCTAGCCAAGAACAACCTTGCTGTTCTATTTCTACCTCCAAGTGCTAGGATCACAACCATATACCACCAAGCCTGGTTTACATGGTGCTAGGGCTCAAGTCCAGAGCTTTACACATGCTAGGCAAGCATTCTACCTAAGGGGCTCCCACTGTAGTTAGATGCTTTGAACAACCAACCAATAAAAGGCAATTGCCTTTTTTTTTTTCATTGTTAAAAGTCTTATTTGGGTCAAAAGTCCTTGATGGGTGAACTTTCTTCTGTGAGTTCGAGGTCAGCTTCGTCTACATACAGAGTTCCAGATCTTGCCACACACAAACACACACACACATACACACACACACACACACACACACACACACACACACACACACGGAAGATAGCTAACATTTGTAGCTAACATTATAACATTGTATATAAATGTTTCACTCTGCTTTTGAGACACTTGAGTGTTGATTGCTTGGGGTTAGATGAGCCAGGAAGCCCACAGGCTCTCAAGTGTGTTGCCTTCCAACAAGTCTGAAGAGCAGACTCAGTTCCTATGTGACAACGTCTGCTCATCCCTTCTGGGTGCAGGGGACAGGGATGGGAGGTGCCACCTGCTATCTCAGCAGGACACTTGCATTTCCTGTTTTGTTTGTTTGATTTCAAACGCAGGGTGCCAAACCTAAATTTTAATTGCAGATATTTTTTAAACACAAAACCATGAAGAATTAGAGAGAATACAGTTTCATCAAAATGTCAGCTCAGATTATCACTGTATCAATTATATGGATTTTCCTTTTAGTGGCTCAATGGTCTTCGCAAATAAATATCACAGTTCAAGCCTTAAGACACATTCTGTGAAATGTGAATTAGTCTTGAAAAATATTCTGATTTCCACTTGGTTTTTTTAGATCTCTCTATAGCATTATCTTGAAAAATGTCTAAGACAAGGAATTCTTCTTCTGCAATCCCTAGCCAAGTCATCATGTTTATAGAATCAAAACACCTATTCCAAAGGTTGCAAGGTACCCAGAATATTGTGGCACACACTTGTAGTTTCTGAACTCCAGAGGTGTGGGCAGGACTATAAATTTAAACCTCCTGGTTTACCTCATGAAGCCCTCTGTCAAAAAGACAAATGGCCACAAGAAGAGAGCAACCCCCACAGGGCGGTGGTGGCACATGCCTTTAATCCCAGCACTTGGGAGGCAGAGGCAGGCAGATTTCTGAGGTCGAGAGTTTGAGGCTAGCCTGGTCTACAGAGTGAGTTCCAGGACAGCCAGGGCTACACAGAGAAACCCTGTCTCGAAAAAACCAAAAAAAAAAAAAAAAAAAAGAAGAGAGCAACCCCACCCCAGTGAGCAGGGGGATTGTGCTGGGTGTCATGACAGTCTGTGAAACACTCACAGGCTGGCTCTGGGGCAGCTTTTTGTTCTGAGA